AGAGCTTTGGTTGCTTGAAAAACCTTGTGTAAGCCCAAATCTGTTGGAGGATTGAGCTTGATAGACTACCACTTATGGAACAACACAGCTATATGTAAACTCTTATGGGCTGTCGCCTCTAAGAAAGACAATTTTTGGGTTCACTGGATTCACAGCTTCTATATAAAAAAAAAATACATCTGGATGAAATAGCAATCCCTAAACAAGTTGGTTTGTTAGGAAGATCCTCGAGGCTCGAAAGGGGCTTATGAATTTGATATGGTTGAAGAGTTGCATAAGTGTACACATCAATGAGTGTTCAGTATCAAGAGAATGTACAAGTCATTCCTACCACAATTCCCTAAAGTTCCCTGAAAGTTTCTCACACTGGGAAAGGCATGTTGCGAAAGCACCAGTTCACCAAAGACTTGCCACAATTGATAGACTAAGCAAATGAGGTATAATTGTTTCTGCTGGGTACATATTATGTAATACAGGCTCGACGGAACTATTCTACCATCTTTTTTTCGAGTGTGAATACTCCGATCCACCAACATATGGGATTCACTCTTGATATGGATAAAAGGGCCTAGACAGATAGGAAGTTGGGAGGATGAACTACAATGGGTGTTAAATAGAGGCGATAAAGGTGGACCGCTCGCAGAAATACTGGGCTGAATGTACGCAACAAGTATCTATCATATATGGAATTAAAGGAATTCATGAGACGATTCTCACAACAGTGCACACTTGCTGCCAAGTTGTTAAAGGAAATTTGTCTCCAACTGCACACCAAAGGACAGTTAAATCTGAAGTGGAAGCCAATTCTTGATCATTTGAATGTTTACCATGTCTAGATAAAAAATTGTTGTAAATATAACATATAAATAGTTAGCTGATCTCTTAAGGACTAGTTCTAGAGTCTAAAATGAACTAGAGGTGTATATATGCTATTTGGTTGAATGAAAATTACAGTTTGGCAAAAAACTAAGGGATAGAGGCAATATTCTCTTCAAACCAATATATAAATAAACTAAATTGATTTTCTATTTCTAGAAAAAACAATTGTTGTAAGACTTGCCAAAAACTAGTGGCAAAATGTCTACTTGAGTTACTTGCAAATTGTCTACTTGACTAGTAAATATATTCGAAAAGAATAAAAAAATGCCCTTAAACTACATAGAATGAATAAAAATGTCATCCATTTATAATTGGCGGAATGACATGAGAGGCTCTTGTACTTGGCACTGTTTGGACCCTTATACTTATGACTTTGTCAACTAAACCCTTTAACTCACCAAAACTCAATATTTTAAACCCCTCTGACCATTGACCGACCATATGTGGCATTAAAATGGCTGAGTTGGAAAAGTGCATGACTACACGCGTTTTAAAGCAAGTAAATGCAATATTTTATTTTAAAAAAAAATATATAATAAATTTACAATAATAAAAATCTCAAATTCTTCATCTATTTCAACCCTTACCCCGCCAAACCCACCCCCACCCTACCCCTTATTCTTATTCTTCAGCCCTAACATAGCCCCGCCCCCACCCCACCGCCCAGCCCCCACCCCTACCCCTACCCTTCTTCTTCTTCTTCTTCTTCTTCTTCTTCTTCTTCTTCTTCTTCTTCTTCTTCTTCTTCTTCTTCTCCTTCTCTTTCTCCTTCTCCTCCTCCTCCTCCTCCTCCCTACCCCTACCCCTACCCCCCTCCTCCTCCTCCTCCTCCTCCTCCTTCTTCTTCTTCTTCGGCAATCGTCCTCATTCATCACTCCCTCTTCTGTCTCATACCTCACTCTATGCTACTTTATTCTTCCTTTTTTGATGGACACCTCATCATCACCATCATAAGAAAAAAATTAACAAAGTTTTTGCTAGAACATATACTCATTTGCCATTTTTATAAGGGAAAAGGCCCAAAAATGCCCATAACCTATTAGAAAAGGTTCAAAAATGTCTTCCTTCCACCTATTGGTTTAAAAATATCCTTAACATTTTTTTAGGCTCAAAAATACCCTTTAGTTAATAGAAATCTGATGTGGAATCTAACTAAATAAGTGGCCCACATAACTTTTTTTTTATCAAATAAATAAACCTTACACTCAAACCATTTTTGATAAATCTAACCCAATTTTCGTATCTTTAATTTTATACCTACTGTTAATTGCTTGTTTTTGTCACATGGAGATTTAAACTTTTGTTTTCTCCTCTTTTCTGACTATCACTTTTGAAAAGGATTAAAGCTAGAATTTTTTCTAAATTTAGAATTAGTTCAAACTTCATACATATGGTTTATAAAGCATCATATGAAAATATTTTAAATGCTTGCTTTCATCTCTTGTTTAATGCGTATGTCTGATTTTTTAAATAACAACTTTACAAACACATTGGGTTTATTCGGCTAGTTTTGAATTCGAAGTTATTGTTCTTAAAGAAAGAAAGAAGAGGAAGAAAAACAGCAAAAAAAACATTCAAATTGACAGTGAAACGAGTTTGGGTTGGGTGGGGTTTATTTTATTTGATAAAAAAAATAGCTGGACCAATGAAACTTTGCCACTTGTGTAGTTAAATTTCACGTCGAATTTCTGTTAACTAAAGGGTATTTTTGAGTCTAAAAAAATGTTGAGGTTATTTTTAAACCAATAGGTTTCTGTTAACTAAAGGGTATTTTTGAGTCTAAAAAAAAATGTTGAGGTTATTTTTAAATCAATAGGTGGAAAGAGGGCAATTTTGAACCTTTTCTGATAAGTTTAACACATTTTTGAGCTTTTTCCCTTTTTATAATCTTAATTTTTGAAGATCTGTTGCTTTAATTTTAAACTTGAAGTTTTCTTGATATCTCTCTTTACCAAATCAAAATAAATAAATAAAAACCCTTTAAAGCATACCAATGATTAATTACAATTTATTACATTACAGGGTCTCATAAGTTTTTGTGATTGAAAAAGATTTTTGGTGCAAATTAAAGAAGTGAAAGCCAAAGGTGATTTTTTCATTTTTGGGAGAGGGGTGGGGGTGGGAAAGAAGAAGGTGAAGTGGGGAATGAGAGACATGATTACAGTGTGAGAGAGAAAATTGTATTTTTTTATATTATTTATTTTTAAATATTTAATTTTTGATGTGTCTTTGAAAAAAAGTTAATAATTATGATATGTTATTAAAAAATGACATGAAATTTCATGTGTAAAACAAGTGTACTACACGCATACTTATCAGATGAGAAAAGGGTTTAAAATTTCGTGTTTCGGTTAGTTTAAGGCTTGAGTTGACAAAATTATAATTATAAGGATTCAACTTACAAACAGTGTCAAATACAAGAGTCTCTCAAATCATTTCGCATTTATAATTTTATCCAAAAATATCCTACCTTACCATCAATTCTTTAATCCAAAAATACCCTCTCTTACCATCAATTTTTTAAGGGAAAAGGGTCAAAAATACCCCTCAATTTTGGTTTATTAGTTGACTATACCCTTGCCGTTAAAACAAAGTTATTTATGCCCTTGCCGTTATCAATTTCACCATTTATACCCCTCAATTGACGAAAATCTCTAAATTGACTCAAATTAACCAAATTTACTTAAATTACCCAATTCTAACCAGATCCGACCTGACCCAAACCACCAAATAATATAACCCATTTTTGTTCTATCTTGTTCATCTTCATCTTTAATGTTGGATTCCTTTTCAAAAACAACCTGTAAACAATACATTTGAAAACACCCATCAAACAATTAGCAAAAACCACCCTGCTCCATCCACGAACTCCAGCGAAGAGCGAACGCCGCCAGTCCCCTCCCTTTTCCCCTTTTACGTTTTCTTCTATTGTATATGTGTTTTTTGCTCCAACTCCGGTAAACAATGACCATGAACTCCGGCGAGGCTCTGCAAATCAACAGTCACCACAACCTCTCTCCCAACGCCAAAATCAGCAAACTCATTTCTCAAACCAGTTAACAACACCAACACAGCTCCATGACTGAGCTTCGCCCTCATTTTACGGTGACCCTCTATTTTCTTTCCATTCTTATAGTTTATGATGATTTTTTTTTTTTTTACATTTTTCACTCTATTCTCTATGTTTCAGATTTGGTTAGGGAGTTCAAGCTCCAATAATTTTTCATTCTTATTCGTTGTTCAATTTTGTGTATGCTATTACACTTTGTTGTTGATTATTTTAATTTTTGGTTTGATATTATTGTATTTTTGGGCACTGTTACAGCTTTTGCTTGTTAATTTGTTATTATGTTGGACTTTTTTTTTTTTAATTAATTTTAAAGTTGAAGATGAACAAAAATGGGTTTATATTATTTGGTGGTTCGGGTCGGATCGGGTTAGAATTGGGTAATTTAAGTAAAATTGGTTAATTTGAGTCAACTTGGGGATTTCCGTTAATTGAGGGGTATAAATGGTGAAATTGGTAACGGCAAGGGTATAATCAACTAATAAACCAAAGTTATTGGGTATTTTTGACCCTTTTCCCATTTTTTAATCTTAAAATACCCTTATAAGAAAGGGACAAAAAAACAAGCAAAAAAAGGCCAAAAGAAGAAGAAAATGAAAGTGGGATCTGCACACGTGACCCACCAAATATCCAAAATCCAACAGAATCCCACAATTATTCCAGAATCTCAATAAGCAAATACTATTAAAAAAAACCCTTTCACCTCTCAAAACACATTCATCATAATGCGGCCAAAGATCCAATTCTCTCAAATGATCCCTAAACTCCAATTCTCTCTGATCAAATTCAGTTTTAGTCAAACATTTCTGCAGTAAAATCTCTCTAAGTTAGAATTTTGGGTATTCGATTAATCCACTCCAGGTAATTTCATGCGTTAAATCGTATTATAATGTAACAAATTTGATATGATAGAATTTTTTTTGACTTAGGGTTTCAACTTTAGGATTTCGAACGACTCGATCTATAATATTCTCGCCAATCGTCATGTTGTATTGCATTTGTTGTAATATTCGATTGTGATTATAATGTGGGTTTTTTTTTTTTTTCAGAAACCATGGAAAATGTACCTATTTTTATAAAGCACAATGGAGTATGGGAAAGTGATAATAGTTTTGTGAATTTTTCTGTTAATGGTGTTTTGGTTACTTCTGGATGCAATTTTGAAGAATTAGTTTGCGTTATAGCGAATCAGCTTGAGAAGGATTTGGATACCAATTTGATAGATATTAAGTACATAGTGAAGGATGGGTATCCACCTATGACGGTAAACAGTGATATGAGTGTTAGAGTGTATATTGAACTGAAAAGGATGAATGCAGAATTCACAATGTATCCGCTTTGCGTAACGTTTAAGGATAAGTGTACTGCTGGAAGTTGCTCAAATGTGAACCCTGCTACTGTTTCATCTGATGGTATACAGAGTGAAAATAGACCTGATATATACTTGCCTGATGCCGTTGAGATGATAAGTCCTGTTCGTGGAAAGGATTGTGATGGTATACAGAGTGATGATAAAGGTATAATGAACAACCAAGATACCGTTGAAATGATGAATTCTGTTCATGGGGAGGATTCTAATGGCGTACGAGGTGATGAGGAAGGTATTATAAACAACGTAGATATTGTTGAGCCGATAAGTTCTGTTCATGGGGAGGATTGGAATGGTATACAAGATGATGATAGAGGTATAGTATTAATAGACAATCCACGGCATCAAGATGTTGAAGAGGGTCAATTGTACCTAGACAAAGAGACCATCGTCAATGTTATGAGGCATTATGCTATCCGAAATAACTTTCAGTTTAGAGTCGAAAGGTCGAGTAGCACCAGGTATTGCATGATATATATATTGTATATATTTTTATCTCGAGTGCATTTGATGATTTTAAATTGAATATTGATAGTGTATATGTATATATATTACCAACAGTTATTGTCTTTTATGCCCGGAAGAAAATTGTTCCTGGTGTTTTAAGTCTTCAAGCCTGCACAAGTCAAAGCTTTTCAAAATAAGAATGTTCAATGATGTTCACACGTGCTCGATAGAGGAAAGATTACATTCACGTCTCTCTTCTGCGGGGATCATTGGAGGTATGATTAGGAACAAGTATGCTGACTCGGAATCTGTATATTCTCCAGCAGATATAATACGTGACATGAAAAAAGATTACGGTGTGGATTTGACCTATATGAGGGCTTGGAGATCGAAGCAAAAGGCTCTTAAAATGTTGAGAGGGAACAAAATCGAATCATATGTGAAGCTGCCGAGCTACCTGTACATATTGATGCATACAAACCCTGGATCCATAGCAAGACTACAAAAATCAGAAGGTGGCTCCTTTTTGTATGTTTTTGTATCGTTGGATGCGTCAATTAAGGGATGGAAATATTGCAAGCCTATTGTGATAGTTAATGCGAGCTTGCTAGAATCAGCACACAGGGGGATTTTAATCATGGCTTACACACAAGATGCAGCGGGTGAGTTAAAATAAAAAATGAGAACATTTATAAATCATTGAAGTTGCACATTTAATTTGTTATATTTGAAAAATACCTAGGGTATACGTGTGTTATATAATCAATACATATGCAGTGTATATCATCTGTAAAAAAGAAGAAGAAGGGCAGCCAGTGCACTAAAGCTCCCGCTATGTGCAAGGTCCGGAGAAGGGCCCAACCACAAGGGTCTATCGCATGCAGTCTTACCTTGCATTTCTGCCAGAGGCTGTTTCCATTCTAAATAAATTGTACATATGTAACAAAAATATTTTAATTCAAAAAATGGATTGTGTGCCTGCTATTTAACATCATCGTTGCAATATTATACCTGTTGTGTATTTGACACTGTTGATTTACTCTAAAGATGTTTTATACAAGTATTTTGATTGACTTAAACAGGTAGAATATTTTTGCTCGCATACAGCGTGGTTGATTCGGAGAATGATGCATCTTGGAAGTGGTTCTTCGAAAGGTTCAGGGACGCTTATGGTGCTAAGGAAGGGATGTGCATAGTATCGGACATGCATGAAAGCATCTCAAAAGCGACCTCGATTGTGTATCCAGAAGTGCTTCACTGTATATGTATGTTCCATTTGTGGAACAACATAAAGACGAGGTACACAAAAATTCATACACCTGTCAAGGAACTGTTCTTCGCATCGGCCAGAGCATATACGATTGAAGAATTTGAGCGCCATATGGTTGCGATAAATAATATTGATAAGAGGGTCGGAGAATGCTTGTATGTTGGATATCATAGATGGTCTAGAGTGCATTCCAAAGTCAACGGGACCACGATTATGACTTCAAACATTGTGGAGTCGATGAATACAGTGAACAATCATGCAAGAGATTTACCAATACTGCATTTGCTGGAATACATGACGAAGTTGGTTCAAGATTGGCACTATGCGAACAAGATAAATGCAGTAGAGACATCCACAGAGCTGGGCAAAAAGTATGAAGAAATCATGAAGGAAAATTACACTACATCTGAGAGGATGACGGTAAGATGCCATTACCATGTTTTTTTTCATGCCAAAAAATGAAATTTGAAATACTTCATAAAAGTATGATAAATAGTGTATATGTATTGTATACAATGTATATATGTAGTATATTACTGAGCATGTTTTTCCAAAATGTAGGTGATGCCTTCCTCTGATTACGTATACAGTGTTGTTGACGATGAAAAACAATTTGTGGTGAACCTGAGAGAGAGAACTTGCACTTGCATAAGGTTTCAAATAGATGAAATGCCGTGTCCACACGCTCTGGCAGTTATAACGTTCAAAAGCATGGATGCATATCAATACTGTTCTGTTTACTACAACAAGGATCACTTGCTGAAAACGTATGACATATGTACGTATCCAGTTCCCAATGAAAGCACTTGGGACATTCCTAGAGAGGTCTTAGAAGAAGTAGTTCTACCACCTACGGGGAAGATTAGACCGGGGAGGCCAAAAAGGTTGAGAATCTAGTCATCGCGACCTAAGAGGTGAAAACTTCATGCGGACACACATAGGGTTACAATCACTTACAACCAAAGACGTACAGTAATTTATCGAGGAAAACTTGACACATTTGTTAGTTTTTCTCTTCTTTTCTTTTAATTCAATCATTGTCATTGTTCATGAATTGTCTATGGAGCTTAATGATTAGTGTTTTTTTTTTTTTTTTTTGCATATCAGGGTATTCTTGGTTTGATATGAAATAATAAATAATGTGCTTGTAGCTGACAAGACTATTCTCAATAACTTGGCGTCAGTTGACAACTATGACCTTTAATTTTAAGTATGTACAAGTAGGCACCTAAACTTGTATAAAATTGAACAAATTGACACATTCATCCTGCATGGAACCCCTACATGGCAATTTCGTGTCCTACATGGCGTCCTACGTGTATATTGCCATGTAGGACACATGTGTGTACTTGTTCAATTTTATACAAGTTTAAGGGGTCGTTTGGTTTGAATACTAGTTATGCTGGGATTAGTTTTTATTGCTTGTTTGGTTTGTCAAATTCAAACTAATATTCATTGTATAATTTTGAGAATAAGTTGTCTGTTTACAAAAATATCCTCACCTTATTTAGTGTTTTTTTTACATTTCTTTGCAAGCTTTAGTTATTCATTCTTAAAAATAAAATTTTCATCTTATTTAGCTTAAATATTTTTGTGTGTGCATTTCCATGATTGTGCCGTATGTTTTTTAATTTAAACGTTCATCTTATTTAACTTTAAAATTAAACTTTCATCTTATTTAGCTTAAAAATAAAATGTTCATCTTATATTGCTTAAAAATAAGATTTTCATCTTATTTAGCTTAAAAATAAAACTTTCATCTTATTTAGTTTTAAAATAAAACTTTCATCTTATTTAGCTTAAAAGTAAAACTTTCATTTTAAGTTTATTAAAGTAAAATATAATTTTTAAGTGAGTAATAAACTATTTAATGAAAAATATGTAATTCAATAGTGGAGTGAATATTTTAAGAGAAATCAAAATATAAATAAACATAATAATTACACAAATAAATTCAACTTATAATATATTCATAAATAAAAATTATATTTATAAAATGTAAATTTTTAATAGAAAAATATATTTATCATAAAAACAACGAATAATTAAGATTGTGAATGTTATTATAAATGTTGTTAAAAATCATGATAATATGTATGAATGTAAAAGTGGTGTATAAAAGAGAGTTTAAGGGGGTTATTTTTGTTAATTTATACACTTTATCCCATGATAACTTATCCTGGGATTACTATACCACCCCCAGCAAGGGATAATTTATCCCAGGACTAATTGTTAATCCTGGGATAAGTTATCCCTACTTTTGCAACCAACCAATGAATTAAAGGCCACTAAAATGTTATCCCAAGATTAATTCATCTTATCCATCACACCAAATGACCCCCAAGCAAGGGCGGACCCACGTGGTCTCCAGGGGTTCACCCGAACCCCCTCGGCAAAAAATTACACTATATATATAAAGTAAATTTTCTGTATTTCTATAGATATATACATTTTGAACCCCCTAAATAGCAAAGAGAAGTCGATGGCGCAGTGGCAAGGCCCCCAGAAATTAAGTTGTGCGTCACTAGTTCGAATCTCAGTGAAAGTGTTTTATTTTTTTCTCTTTCAGTTTCAGCTTTTTTTAGTTTTTTTTTTTTTTAATTTTCAGTTCTATTTTTCTTTTTTTTAGTGTTTTTTTTTTTACTTTAAAAAACGTGCTAAAAGTGTGGTTTTAAACCCAACAAAATTCAAGGTTCCTATTTCTAAAGGCTTATTTACACGTTTATACTTTTAGTTTTCGAACCCCCTGAACGAAAATCCTGGGTCCGCCACTGCCCCCAAGTGTCTACTTGTGCACAGTCAAAGTTAGAGAACATAGTTATCTGTTGAAGTTAAGTTAAGGGTCATGTTTATGGATTATGTCTTCTCAAAACAGCAAGGAAAATCTCTTTCAAACAGTTCTAATTAAGGCTCACAATTGAATTACTCAACTCTTTTAAGTATTTTTTTAGCACTTAAAAAAACATATCTAATATCAACATTACTGTAATACATGTTTAAGTACTAATAGGGAGAATAGATCTAGTACTAAAAAATGTAACTTTGTCTATGTATTATCAATATCTATCATTTTTTACTTTGAAAATAAAAATTATTTATTTTTTCAAATTTTATAACGAAACTTGTTCGAACATGCATTTAGAGAATGGAAATAAATAAATTAAATTCTTTACTCAACAATATGCATGATTGCTAAAGACGCGGAGACACGTGCATCCCTAGTCTTACTCAACCTGAATCTCGAGCAAATCTTGTTGGATTGTCTACTTCTTGGATCTCTTTGTGGTTTAGGCTCAGGCCCAAAAACTTGGCCACCCTCTGTCTAGATAACTGGTCCAAATTTATTATGTAGACTATCCATGTTCACAACAAAAAAAAATTGTCCATCTTAATGATCAACATATTGGATAAATCAGCAACCTCAATTAGACACTCAGATTCAGCAAAATAATCGACCAATGTTTTAAAAGGCAGGGCGTTTTATTTAGTATAAGCTACGCCTCGAGATGTGGGACGTAAGCCTTATTGATCTTTAAATTTTTAATTTACAATATAGTATAATAATTTAATAACACAAAATTATAAAAGTACATCAAAAATTTGAAATAATTACAAACATGATTAAGGAAACTCATAGAAAATAAAACTTCTAACATGACTATACAAGTATAAATAATCTAATATCTTAACTTTCTAATAATAAAATAATCATTATTTGTAAAAATATCTTTTTTGTCGTACTATACAATTTACAATCAATAAAATTTACTAGTATTATAGTAAAACTATCACTCCATCATGAATAAAAATAAAATTATTTCCAAATAGCTAAATAAAATATGATAATTTTGAGGCATATGACAAAACCATGAAGACCAATGATAAGCGAAAAAGTAAAATTTAGCTACATGTTTTTAAAAGAAATGTTACGTAATATATAATCACTTTCTTAGTGTTACCAAATAGTAAAGATGTGATACTACAACTTGTTATTTGAGTTGCTCTCAATTATCTTCTTATCTCTATAGATTAAAAATTATTATGTATCATTCATTTATTCAAGAATTATGAGGGTCAAAAATGTTAATTAAAAATTTTAACACATAATTTGTGTAAGGTCTATTAGGCAAGCCCCGAGCGTTGGGCGTTGGACATGCTTACACTACACCATTTTAGGCCTACGGCCACCCCAGTAAAGTGTAGCCTAAACTAGCAAAAAGTGTGGCCTTTGATAAAAGGCTACACTTTTGGACTTTAAGCAACACTTTTCCAGGGGTGCCCAAAAGTAGCGTTACCTTAGAGTTTAGGCAACACTTTTCAAGTGTTGCCTTATCAGCTACGCTTAAAAGCTTAGCCTAAAAGGAAAAATGGCAACGCTTTTATGTACCTCAAATAACAACATTTCTATCTCATACAACTACACTTTTAAGCGTGGCCTAAGCTTCCTTATTGCCCACAATTTTTAAGTGTTGCCTTTTCTATCTAATGTATGACAACAATTTTAAAGTGTTGCCTTTTCTATCTGATGTATGACAACACTTTGAAGTGTAGTCCTTGCCCATGTGCATACCACAATTTACAGTCCTATGGCTACACTTTTAAGTGTGGCCATATCATTTTGGCTATAAAATATTTATATGCCACAATTTCTAATTAAAAAACACCAATATTATTTTGCAATAAATAATCTCAAGCATTAAATTGGCTAATAAGTAATTCAAATATATAGATTTGCAATAAATTTCAAAAGATAATATCATGTCTTCTGTACATACACATACTTATAAAGCAATATTCTAAATATGTGTACATAATAGTTAAAAAAGTACTCTTACAATACTTCAATATATTCTAGCAATGAATATATTTCACTAAAGCAAACATAATGTATTCAAAGTTTTACAATAGTTCAAAAACTCTTCATCATCCACTTCAATGAGATCAAATTGACTTGTGGCGACCCTTCAAATTTGATCTCCTCCATTTCCCTACACATTTAAAATGTACAACAAATCAGATTGTAGCAGTTATAGAAGAGGCAAGAAGTTCCAGATTACAGATTGCAGACTCCATATTTTTTGAATTCCAGATTGCATATTACAGTTCCAAACTCCAGATTGCAGATTGCTGCAGATTACAGTTCCAGGTTCCAGATTCTAGATTGCAGATTGCTGCAGATTACAATTCCAAGTTCCAGATTCTAGATTGCAAACTGCATATTACAGTTCCAGATTGCAGGTTTCAGATTACAGTTTACAAATCAAAATTTATCGGCCAAAAAACTTACAGAATTTCGTAGTCCACTTCAGGCCAAAGAACAGGGGCAGCAAGAGAAAAATCCCAAGATACTCTAATGCAGACATGTAAATCAGGATAGCAGTCACACATAACAAAGCATGGAAAAAGAGGAAACTCAACACCAAACAACATCAAAGTGTATGTTTTTTTTTATCAATGGTACCTGGGATATCGAAAAGATCATTAAAACTGCACCTCTGAATCTTGTCGCGACCATTCTTTCGACTCAAACTCACTATCAGCCGATGGTTTCTGATCAACCAATCTGGAAGCCCAATGCAAATGGATAATTCACTTGCTCGTCTGCTTGGGATTAGACTAGAGAGAAAAGAAACCAAAGTTTCTACTGTCACAACCTGTCAACTATTTCTGCTGCTATAAACCACGAAAGACACACTGTTTAAATAGTTCTTTCACAATAAGTGGGACGACACATTGTTTCTACATTGGACCTCCACTACTAATGAAACAACAGACAAATGATCATGAGATTCTCTTTGTAGAATTCCATGGAAAAACAAGAAGACCGAGTTGATGGATGATCAAGCTTAGCACAAGGGATAAAATGTATAACATGAAGAAGGAAAGCCCTTAAAATA